TAAATCATATTAGGGATCCTATTACAATTTAAGGTATATTCCTTACTTAAGGGGTTTTGGAGTCTCTGGGGACCTCAAGAGCCGGGAGTTCCGGGCTGCGGCCAGCGTCGTACCAGAAGCTCACCGCTGCTTCCAGCTCGGTGCTTGGGGTCAAGACGGCACCAAAACCCTTAAAAATACCTTACTCCGAGCATTAAAAACTACAATCCCCTAAACTCTGAACACCTAAACTAAACCCTAAACCCTAAAACCCTGAACCCTAAACAGTAGGCCCCTTTATCAGTCTCTTGGTATCTCGCTGGCTTTTGCCCCTCCGCGACTTGACCGGCAGTGGCAACCTCGGGCCAAGCACAGAGCTGATACTATGGGGCTTAGGGTATAGGGGGCTTAGTAGTTTAGGGGTTTACGGTTTAGAGTATAGGGTTTTGCGGTTTAGGGGTTTTGTAGTTCAGGGTTTAGGATTTAGGATTTAGGGGTTTTGGGGTTTAGGGGTTCAGGGGTTTAGCGGTTTAGGGGTTTAGAGCTTAGGGTTTAGTGTGAAGGGGTTTAGGGGTTTAGAGTTTCCCGTTCCGTTTCAAGGCTTCGTTGATGGGTTCTGTTACACTTACACTAGTGGCTGAGTCTGGGGGCCTGAATAGTTAGAGTAGCGTTCTGAGGTTTAGGAACTTAAGGAATAATCATTAGTAGTACTTCTTCAAGCCGTTATAGCACGTACTTTCGGATGCCACAGCTTTAGGGCTAAGAGTTTTTGGGCAAATTCTGGGACTGTTGCTGCATTGCGGTATGTATACTTCTCCAAGACCCTGGCGCATAACAGTTTAATTTTTCCGAAGAATACTGAAACGTTGAAAAGCTGGTCATTGGGAACGAAGTTCGCATGGCCTAAGGTTTAGACTTTGCTTGCATGGCTTTGATGTGAAGGGTTTCGAGTTGAGGTCCTTCCTGCATGCTTGTTCCCGGTCGACCTTTCTCAAAAGCATCGCGTCGGGATCGACGCCTGGCAAACCACCGTTGGGCTGTCGCATCAAGACGATGCGGTCGATTGGTTCAGCCCCGAAATACGCCCTAAGCCCTAAACCCTAAACCCTAAAACCTTAACCCTAAACCCTAAACCCTAAAACCTTAACCCTAAACCCTGAACCCTAAACATGTTTCGTTTCAAGATATGGCCAGATTGGGCCGATGCTCATCCTTGAGCTGAGACCATGGTTGGGGACTGCTGCTGTGATAGTTTGGGCTGATGGTTTCGAGTTCGCGGACGCGATTTTCAAGATGAGCGATCCGGGGGTTTAGACTGCGTAGCTGGATTATGAGGTTTAGATTTGTTCTGACTTGGGGCTGAAGTCTGGTGGGACCAACTCCAGGAATGCGTTGAGGAAGCCAGCGTTTGGATTGCGATCTGCTGACACTTCTTGTTGCTTTTTGGCAATTCATCTTGCTCAAATGTTGGCTGGGGTCAAGCTGGAACTCCATGAGCACTTTAAAACGCTGAAAACCTAAAGTCAACAACCACCCTAATCCCTAAAACATCCTAAACCCTAAACCCTTAAACCCTATGTAAACCGACCCTAAAACCCCTAAAAGCTTTGGGGTCTGAGGTTACAGGGGTGTGGGCAGCTCCGTTTGCGGATCATCTCCTGAGAATCTATGTGCCCAATACTACATACCTTCGCCCTGAAGTACTTAGCCAAATAAATAAGCCAAAGGAATCACTAGATGTGTATATATATATATATATTATATATATATATATATATACATATATATATATATATATATACACGTGTGTGTGTGTGTATGTACGGAGGGACTAGTGACTAGTTTAAGACCATAGTTGACACTATTGGGATACATGAACCCTTAGTGAGCAGGCGTTGGCTGAGAGTCTGGAATTCCCTGGTCCGTCGTTCCAGCCCTTCATCCAACCCACAGCGCTGAAGATCTCAGATCTAGTAGCCTTCCCGGGCTGTGAAGTAACCAGGCAATAAAAAGTATAGACTTTTATTTCATAATGGTTCCTTTGAGGAACAGGTCCCCCAAAAAAGTATTAAAGTATGGTACTCCAAAGCCCAGCTTCTTTATCCGGGGTTACCTCCAGTGTCAAAAAAGTAGGTTGTTGTAGTTTATGGTAGTGCATGCGTAGTCCCTGCTTCAAGAACACCCGATTCCCTAAACCCCTTACTCTTTGTTGCCCAGAGAGTCCAAGTCACAAATAATAGGGTTTCAGATACCGAAATCCATTCAGAGCGTGGAATTTGGGATTCAAAACCCCACTAGTTGGGCACTTGAACCCTCTGGGTATGTTGTGGTATCATTCTAAAATCCTAGACCCAAGCATCCCCCCAAACCCTACACCCTAAACCCTGAACCCAAAGCCCTCTCAGTCAGGCACCGCTCGGCCCCTTGGCACGAGACGGATGGGGGTTCCCAGTGTTCCTTCAAGGGGTTCCCTGACAGGTTCCTTGAAGTTACTTTGACAGTCTCTTGAAGGATCTTACAGTTGTTTCGAGGGTAAGCTCCATATAGGGGTATGTGCGACCAATACAGATACTACTAGTATTTGATAGTATCACTTTATAGTCCGTCTTTGGACGCTATAATGAAACCCGAAGCCCTGTTTGAGTTATTCAGGACCCTTTATTGACAGTCTCTTCCCTGGCTTTCAGCTCAGCCACTACATACCTCCGTCCGGAGGCATTGAGGTCGAGAGGACGCGCATTGTGATGACCTGCTGCCCTTGTCAATCCAGTAATACCTATACCCTAACCCCAAATATCCGACCTTGTGAAGGACTTATATAAAGAGTTCATAATAAAGGACCCGAAAAAGGTAGGTTCTTTAGGGTCCAGGTAATCACTCAACAGTATAGCCCGAACCTTAGGCCCTGATCCTTAACCGGAGACCGAAAAGCCCCTCCTACACTGAGCGGATAAGGATAGGATATCCCAAGCCCTAAGCATCCTCATCGGCGGGCTTCGGCCCTAAACCCTACAACCCTAAACCCTAACTCGCTAATCCCTAAAACCCTAAAACCCTAAACCGCTAAACCCTAAACCCTAAATTGCTAATCCCTAAAACCCAAAACCCAAAACCCCAAAACCCCAAAACCCCAAAACCCTAAAACCCTAAACACTAAAACCCTAACCCCCAAAACCCTAAACCCCTAATCCTCGGCTGTTTAGGACTTTTCAGATCCAGGGCTTTCCGTCCCGAAGCGCCAGCCCCGGCCTCCGACCCGAAGATCGTATTGCCCACAACACAGAATAGGAACGGCTAGGGTTTAGGGTTTAGGGTTTAGGGTTTTAGGGTTTAGGGTTTAGGGTTTAGGGTTTAGGATAGTCTAGGGCACTGAGACAATGCAGGAACTTCTTTATATACTCAGGAGACTACATTGTCAAGATCCTAACCACCACACGAGCAATCCTTGAAGATCCCTTTATAACCCTAGACCCTTAGAACAGCTTAGAGAACCTTTGATTTTAACCTCAAAGGCTCCAAATCCCAACAGCCCTACATAGTGCATGGTCTTGGGGCCCAAAACCCTTCACACATGAGTTCCGAGACCCGTTATGTTAATCCTAAACCCTAAAAGCTGTAAGGATTTAGGGTCTAGGGGTTTAGGGTTCCTACACTTTAAACCCTAAACCCTAAACCGTCGTTTTGTTTTGAGACCTGCATGTATCCCGTCCCAACGTCCCAGCAGGGCTGAGGCCAAGGAAGTCTCTGAATGGAATCGGCTGTGATACCTGACAAGGCTATGCGTGAAGAGGGTTTTGGGTTTAGGGTTAGGGGCTTAGGGTTTAGGGGCTTAGGGTTTGGGGTATGGAGTTTCTTCTTAGAACTCACTTGCGGCCCGAGAAATCTACTGTTGAGCTCTACAATGGAACCCGAAAAGGTAGGCTTTTGGGCCAAAGGTATCAAGTCATATTAGGGATCCTACTATAACTTAAGGTATATTCCTTAATTAACGGATATTGGAGTCTCTGGGTATACGGGGCTCTAGTAATTAGAATAGGGTGTTGGTGTAGATTTCAGAACACCAATCGGCACCGCAAGGTTCATGACTTTTCCATTGCTCTAAACTCCCTAAACCCTTTTTACTGGGAGACCACTGCGTCATGCATTTGCATAGGCCCTGGCAGACTTCGCCACCGTGCGCATATGCAGTCATACACCTCTAACCCTGAGATTCTCCGCGCTCATAGTTTTTGGCTACTGGGACCACCAGACCATACTACCCAAGGCTCTTGGGCCATTCGGAGCATTCGGGTAGCAAGTGGCGACCGAGACTAACACCAACACAATCGCTGATGGACAACACCGACCAGCAACTACTAACCTGACGTGTCTCCCCGCCTTTTTCTGCGTGATGGAATGCGAGTAGTAAAATATCTGCGCATCGAAGTCGATAGTAAAGTACCTGAGCAGGCAAGGGTTACCGGAATGTCATACTGACCGCTGCTTGTGGGTTGAGGGTTTAGGGTTTTAGGGTTTAGGGTTTATGGTTTCAGGGCTTCGGGTTTAGGGTGAGACGCCCCAAACCCCTAAACCTTACCACTTCTGGGGCTTGGGACCATGTGGTTGCATGATCTAAACACGCAAACCCACATGCAACACTTGAAAACCTAACCCCTAAACCTAAGACCCAAAGAACGGGCGACATGATATGTCCCTAAAGGTCCATGTAATAAAGCCTAGACTTTGGTCTTAAAGTTGTCCCTATACGTAGAGGTACTTTAACCAACGTGTATAATATTTGGGCACATGGACCTTAAGGGTATCGAATCTGGAATGAGGATGGCGCCCACTACCACGGTCCTCAGACCCTCAGCGCCCCCCCAAACCCCAAAACATGTTCCTGTAAGCGTTGCTACAACGGTTTCCTAGAAGATCTACACAAGTTCCTTTGAGGACTCCTTGAAGCAATCCTTTAAAACGCAGACTGGCCCCAAACCCAAAAAGCCTAAAACCTAAATCCTTTGAACCCCGAACCCTCGACCCTATAGGCCCTATAAGGGTTTAGGGTTTACATTAACCCCAAATAACCTACCTTTTTAAGGACTTATATAAAGAATTCATAATAAGGGATCCTAAAAAGGTAGGTTCTTTAGGGTCCAGGTAGGGCTTAAGAGCCCTGAACCCTAAACCCTAAACCCTAAACCCTTAACCCTAAACCCCTAAACCCTAAACCCTAAACCGTGTCGCCTCGTGGTGGAGCTCTGGAGGAGCCTCAGACGGGCAGCCTCGTTCTTGGCCTGGCTGGGGGCATCTTAGAGCGGTTTGGGGTTTGGGGTTTAGGGTTAGGGGTTTAGGGTTTAGGGTTTAGGGTTTAGGGTTTAGGGTTTAGGGTTTAGGGTTAGGGTTTAGGGTTTGGGGTTTAGGGTTTAGGCATCTTAGAGGGCTTTAGAGGGGTTTGGGGCTTTGGGGCCCCAAACTTTACGGTTTTGTGGGCTTTAGGGTTTGGGATTTTTGGGCTTTAAGGGGCTACGACTCCAAGTATTTGGGGTCTAGAGTCTATGAATAATGCCTACTTTGGACTCTTTGGAATACTGGGGGCCTCTTGGGGCCTTAGGGGTTTAAGGCTTTGGAGCTTACGGTTAGGCTTCTGGGGTTTGTAAAGTTCAGGGTTTTGAGCCTTTGCAGTTTACCCAAACCCCCAAGAGTAGGTACAATAATGGTCAAAAACCTCCAAAAGGCTATTATTCTACATGGGTGGTTGTCAAAATTATGGTCCCTTTTGGGGTACCCTAAATAATAGGTGCCGCATTATAATAAGGATCCAAAAAGGGACCATAATTTTGACAACCATCCACATATATTTGGGGTCCAGGTAGAGGTTAGGGGAGGGCTCGAAGGGTTCTATATTGGTGTGTGCAAGGTATTCGGGCCTTGCAGGCTCTATTTGGTTAAGGGTTTAGGGCTAAGAAGGTTAGGGTTTAGGGTTTAGGGCTTAGGGGTTTGAGAGTTTAGGGCTGCAAGAAGTTTGATCCACATTTTTCGATGAGATTCTGATAATGAAGCACTCCCGATGTGAAGCCTAAGTAAGGAGGATGCAATCTAAAAGCTCACTAAACCAGGTACCCCTGCACAAAGCCCTTTGGATGCGTGGAAACTTGGTGTCTACCAAATCCTGGGCCATCCAAGGACTGAGTCTAGGGTTTAGGGTTTTCGGGTTTAAGGTTCAGGGATTTAGGGGTTTCGTAACTAAGAGAGTGCGATAGTATGCTTTTGTGCAGCAAGCGGCCAGCATCTCTCTCTGGCACGAGCCCTTAACCCCAAGTCCCTGAACCCCCAACTCCTAAACCCAAACCCCGCATCCCCAAACCCTTAAAGTAGAAGCCAGCAACTTCGACTATGATTAAAGGAAACTACAGGTGGGGAGTTCAGGGTATATAGGGCTTCTATAAGGCTTCCATAAGGTATATAGACCTTCTATAAAGCTCCTATAACGGTAACCACCCACCTGAAAATGTCCTAGATATGATTTCCTCGGGATTCCAGTGCCAATCATCTTAAATCCATGTAACCCTAAACCCTAAAACCCTAAACCCTAAACTCTAAACCGTTTGTTCCGACGCTCTTGGGCTCCCCTAAACCCTGAACCCCTAAACCTAAAACCCAAACCCAAAGCCCTTGAACCCTACACTGAAAGCCCCAAATCCCCTAAACCCCTAAACCCAAACCACCCAAACCCCTCAACACTAAACACCCAAAACCCTAACTCCCCCCCCCCAAAGCCCTACCTCCTAAAGCCCTAAATAGCCAAACTTTTACAAAACAAGAGCCAAGGCCTTGATCAGCCAAGCGCTGTAGCAGCCTTTGCCTTCATAGAGTGATCAGGGCAGAGCCGCTGCTTTAGGGATTTAAGCTTTAGGGCTTTAGGGATCTAGGGATTTAGGATCTAGAATTTTAGATAGGGCTTTAGGGATCTAGGGATTTAGGATCTAGTACAGGATCTGGGGGTTTTAGGGCTTTGTGGATCTATGGATTTAGGGATCTAGGGGTTATAGGGCTTTAGGGATCTATGGATTTAGGATCTAGAGGTCTTAGGGCTTTAGGGATCTAGGGATTTAGGATCAAGGGGCTTTAGGGCTTTAGGGATCTAGGGATTTCGAGATCTAGGGGTTTTAGGGATCTATGGATTTGGGGATCTAGGGGTTATAGGGCTTTAGGGATCTATGGATTTAGGATCTAGGGGTTGTAGGGCTTTAGGGATCTAGGGATTTAGGATCTAGGGTTTGTAGGGCTTTTGGAATTCAGAAATTTCGGCTTTAGGAGTTTAGTCTTTCAGGGTTTGCTGATATACTATATCCTAAACCCTAAACCCTAAACCCTATAATAATAGGGTTTAGGGGTTTGGGGTTTAGGGCTGTATAAGGCTTCGGGGGACTGCAACACAAGCTGTGAATGTCCTTAAGCAGGAAAAAGGTGGCAAAAGGGTACTAATTACTCAGGAACCTAGAACCATTCAGCGTAATATGGGGGCCTTAACAGTTGGAGTAGGGTTTTGGGGTACATTATACTTACACAATGATAGGAACCCGCAAAAGAGTATAGGTAACTACTACGGCCCTTATGTTAAAGCCCTAAACCCTACACCCTAAACTCTAAACCCTAAACCCTACTAACCCTACTAACCCTAAACCTTAAACTCTAAACCCTACTGCGGCCCTTATATTACAGTACTGGGGGGCTAGAGGCGACTCCGGAGCTTCAAGGGAATGAGCGCTCCGTACGAAGGAGCCCGGCAAAGCTTCAGGTGGGCTTAGGGCTTAGGGTTTAGGGTTTAGGGCTTAGGGCTTTAGGGTTTAAGATCTTGAAGATCTTTCAGCCTGCGGTCCGGAATGAGGAGGG